TCGACATTTGATAACATTTTGTAGCAATCAGAGATCTAATAGTTTTGTAGCAAATTTAAAGTAAAGAGAGATAAATAATAACTTGCCGCTTGTAACGGCAAGAATACTAAAAATAATAAATAAAAATAATTCTTTGCTTCAAAAAATAGTAATAAGTAGCAAAATTAAAAATGATCCGAGACTTAAAATTTTTCTTTCTCTCTCATCAAAAAAAGGGGAGAAAGAAAACAAGGAAAGAGGAAGGAAACATTGCAGCGTCTAATTTTCGAAAGTAACGGAATCAGCTCTCGATTCACTTTATAGCACATAGTTTCAAGAATACTAATCGAAGATGACTTATGCAACGATGAAATGAACCAATGAGGCCATGTATTCGAAGGAAATTCGCGGTAGTGTGCAAGATTAATCTACATCCTCCGATGTTAAACGCAGCTTTCGGAATGGCGTAATCGCGCACAAACGGCAGCAGATTATGCGGCGGAGAGGAACGATTTCGATCGTTTTTTTTCCTCTTTTCCTCTATCTTTTCTCCCGCTTAACCTTTCGCGAAGCCGCGAAGGCGGCTTTGTGGTTGATCATTTTACGCGTATCTCGACTTGCTATCTGTACTTCAGCGCTTATTAAAGCGCCGTAGCTTATGATTTCCGTGCGTTAAGCGACTGCAACGCGTGCCTGTAAATTGTTTTTGTGCTCGGAGGAAAAGTAAATCTTAGTAAATAATTACGCTCATTGAGACAGTTTTCCTGCAATTTTCCCAAGATTAAGATAAAGTGTCAACGAATCATTCCACTGCGTTTACTTTATATTTCTTGAATTAATCTATAATCTCGATGTAACAATTTAAATAAAGATAATTCATGTTAGTTTCGTAAAGAGTTCAGTTTTCTAATAAATAAAAGTAAGAAAAATGAAAGGAATGCGTATAAATGCGACTCTTCATTAGGCAACTTTATTACGCAGATATAAATTACTTTAACAATTTGAATTTTTATGTAAAATTGATTTAAAGAAACTTTTATTATTTCCTTTGTTCTTTATTTAGCCTTTAATTCAACTTTGTTTCTTTATTGCAACACTCTACTCGTCCTCCGTGCTTATGAATAAAAGATTAATTTTGACGGAATTCTTTTACCTCTGAAATTCTTCTTGTGCTACAATATATGACGCATTGAAAGTTTGGATGAAACAGACTGTCCTTGCGCGATAAGAAATATACCGTTTGAATATGGCGATGCGACGAAATTACGCATACGTCGCGCAATTAAACGCACGATTTACACATGATTCGCGAGATCCTGGAGCCTCTTTCTCACATATGCATGTGAATCCAGAATAATCGGGCGTAATTGATGGCACTGTATTTAACGAAAATTTCGTTACACGCGGCAAATATTTATCGCCGTAACGATCGGTAAAACATTAAATTCGCAATTTTATTCGACAGCGCGATTATTATCGTACACTTTGATGGGATAAAAATTAAATTATACGAATTCTTGCCGACCAAAAATCATAATTTTTTATTGTAATCTTTTAACCAAAAATAACCTCGAAATCAAATTGCTTGTTTATAAGATTATCAATATTTATAATATTTTTTAATATAATCGAGTCATTCTTTATGAAAATAGTAAATACATAAATTTCAAAAATTTTTCAAAGCTATTTTAAATTAAATTTTTTAGTTAATATAAATTCACAAACCTGGAGTTAAAATTATTATTTTATAAACTGGGTTAACTAGATGCAAATTTAATTGAAATGTTTTAGTTTATTTAAGGAGCAACAGGCATTGAAGCCGGTCTAAATTATGCATAGCATAGCTGAGATACCCGCATCTCAGTGCCTTTCTCATGCTCCACGAAGATAATCACCTGTTCGTCTAAGATGCACATGAAAACGTGCTTATACGTAAGAGCATGTAACCATCTATTTCTCGTAAAGGTCTTCGTCTTATCAGACTAGCGTAAGATTATCTCTCACCGAGCACTATGATGATTTACCGTACGCGTAAAAATTTGACGCAAGATATGGGCACTTAATTTAACCCGTTTAATTTAATCTAACGTTTTACTTAATTTCATCCGTAAACACATGAATTGTTCCTTCAACATAATTATTTTAACGCAATAATCAAGAATTCTTGTAAAGTGTTCTAATTAAAAAAAGCGTTAACATTATAATGTGCAAATTTAAGATTACATACATTTAGCATATATTTATATTTTAAATTTATTAAAATAAATAAATATATAATATGAATTTACCTTTTTTACTTTAATTTTTTATTTAATTTTAAAGTAATGTAATTTGTTGTACGCAATTATTCTGCATATTTTACATAAATTTGGAAAATATTTACGTTGTTGTTTTATTTTTTATTGTTATTTTTTGTACCGCCAAAAATAATATATAATAAAATAATATTTAAAATTACTTTTTTAAGACTAAAATGCAATGGAGAATTTCTGAAAGATGTTTATAATTGGTAGAAAAGAATTAATATGACGCACGTTTTCAATCGGTTACACGGAATGCTACTGTCTTTTCCTTTCCCACGTAAAATGCGCCGCGTCTTCGTTAGAAATTCTCATCTCGTACAGTACACAATGTCAAGACTATTGTCCATTCTGCGTAGATGAGACGAGCATAAAGATTACTCCAAAGCACATTGAAAGCGCTTTCGAAAAAAACATTTCGGAATCAAATTATTGTAGGTTGAAAGAAAAACTTTGCTCGCTTTATATCGCAATATGATCGTCCACCTTTAAAGATAAAAAATTATTCTCCTAAAGTTAACAAATAGGTAATAACCTATCAACGTGTATGCAAATTAATTCACAAAAAATACGTCGTAATTGTGAAACTCACAACAATTCATCATTCAAAACAAACAAGGAAGCGTTTCCAGATTTTTACGTATACACGTGTCTTCGCGTTTCAGTATATATGGAAGATTATATCCCACTTACTTGTTTATCTCTCGGCATCTTCTCTCTGCGTGTCATCTGCGATTACCGCCAGTTGAAACGTTGATACAGATCCACAGATCCGAGGATGAGGGGAGCCTCCGTGAGTTTTCAAGGTGAGGACCCAAGACGAGGATCCGACGTTGTTCCGGGCCGAGCTTAATTAAGTAGCGTGATTTACGCGATGTTACGTTTTTTCGGGCCGGACGATAATATAATCCTTTCCCATGATCCCGCACGCGCACATGAGAGCGACATGATTCCATCGTGTCAGCTCAGGTTCAATAAAACACGGCTCTTAATTGCGACCGACAATTAACTCGGATGAGCGAGCGTGCGTTGATGACTCTCGGACACGATGCGCCTCGGATAGTCACATTCAGCGGCTCTTAAACGTTAGATCCTAGTTTTAATGAACGCCCATCTCGCTCACGGGGACACCGTTAACGTTTTCTATCCGTGGGACTAGAGCGATATGTTCCAGCAATTTCGCTGTCTGCGCCAGTAATATGGATACGCGCCATCTTTGGAGGTCATGGCGAAGAGCATCCGTTGATCTCCGAGATCTACGTCGGGGAGCGCCAGATTTCCCGGAAGAATGGTGAAGCAATTTTGTAGAGAATCTGACGAGTATCGCGCATGACTTGGCCATTCTGAGACTGACGTAAGTTAACTTTGAAGAAGCGCTGTTGTCCTGCAAAATAAATAAGATAATTTTATGTAAATTGTGTTTTTCGCAATAAAAAAATTTAAAAATTTACACATTTATGAAATTAATCACGTTTGGAAACTTTGTTTCTTCAAAAAACAAAAGTTATTTTTGCAGACATAATTTAGTGTATAAACCATTTATTTTTAAAATCTTGTGACTAAATTTTGCAAGTGTCTTTCTGAAAAAATTAATATTTCGCAAATAAACTTTTAAAATAATTACTTCTCAAAATAGAGGATAAAAAGAGAAAAAAATTGTGTATTCTGTATTTTTAAATCGGCTCCTCGCAAAGACGCTGAAAAATGTCTTTCGATTATACTGCTAGTATATTTTGCCGTGCATTCGGCTGCGAACTTTGATTCATATGTTTCGTACCAAGATATAAACCGACACACATGAATGAATTATAAGACCAATCAGTTAAGTACGTGTGTGGTCACCATTGTCGATACTGCGCTACATAATCATTGACCTCTGACGAAGTATATATTTTACTATGGATGCAAGGTTGCCTACTTGTAAGTAGACAACTCTTGGCACCAACTCTTGCATTCTATTCTCTCGAATACATGTAATTCCTTTGTACTCGTATTAAAACTGTTTGCGTTTGATTTATCAGCGCTTAATTGAGTGTCTATATCGACTCTAATCTCCAGGAAGTGATTTATAAATATATTAATTTGCTTTTATCTCTAATGTACATATAATACGTATAAAATCATATTGTCATAAAAAATAAAAATATGTGACAAAAGATTTAAAACTCTGTTTTTTTTGCGACCCCATACAGCACCGATTATTGCGGAAAGTTTTCAGAAAGATTTCAAAACAATTCTGGAAGGATTCTGCAAAATGTGACTAAATAAAAAATGTGAATAATGTAAATGTGAATAATGTGAATAATACGAATAAAATATATGTATATTATATGTATATAATACATTACATACATAATATATTAATAACAGAAATTTTGACTTAATTATTTATGAAAATAATAATTATATATTTAACGAGGAAAATGTTCATAACGATTTTATAAAAGGTACAATTCTAGCCTATTTCTTATATAGTAACGCTCCTGAGCCACAACATTAGACGCGCGATCGGCGGATCGACAGTGGAGCCGTGAGCGGAGTGAGGGGCTCGAGGGGAGACAGTAAGCGTCGCCTCAAAAATCGGTTCGAAATGTGTAACCAACTCCGAGTTCTGGTTTAGATTGTTATTGTCGCGTAACCTCTTAAAAACTATTTACATTACATGATGTATTTATCATGTCAGCTACCAATATTTTTCTTAGTGTTCGATGGTTTCTCGAAACAGTAAGATAACAATTAAATTTATATACCTCTGGCATTCGCAATTCAAGACGGTGTTAACTGTACTATTGTTACAAATTGTTAATTGTTACAAAGTACTGCAATTTTAATAAACACATAATTTTAATCTATACAGGTGAGTTACCATAAGTTAAATATTTCTCATTAAAACATATAACAAATTTCTAAAACACCACAAATACAGTTTTATATTCTTCAAAACATATTCTTTTGAGCTCACAAACATATTTAACGATTCTTTTAAATTTTTTCTTTTTCGATTTATACTACATGAGCTGAGATAAACGTAACAATTATCAATCATCTGTATCAATATAAAATTTTTTAATATAAAATTTATATGACACGTTGAAAATTAATTATTCTGATATTCGCAAAATTTATTGAAAAGATCGATTGTGTTTCTAGAGACCTAATAAACAAATACTTACAGTGAAAAGTTATTCAATTATCTGTAACATTGTAACAACGTAATTTTCTGTAAAAATAAAAATTAGATTCTCTTACTTATTGACCGGGTAACACATATTCGTTTCATATACGTTTTCTCAACGTACATAAATACATTGAATACGGTTAGAAAACGTATATGAAACGAATATCTGATACCTGAGTTGCATTTTCAGTATTATATAAATTTTATATATATTTAATATTTTCCGTTTCATATTTAAGAAAAAATTTTAGACAAATTTTGTTGCTTGTAAGATTTCATATAATCTCTCGTAATTAAAATTTCGTTTCTTCTTTCGCTACTACCGGAAATAATTCTTTTTCTCTTTTTGCCTTTTTTCATGAAAATCCTACACCGCTTTAGTACGATTAACTGCAATAGTTGTTATATAGTTGTTATATAATCTTTATTTTTCGTATATAAAGTTAAACAAAATGTGTTGCATATGTATGTGTTTATTTCCAATCAAGAAATTCTTCTTTCAGAGGTTTTGAATGAAAATTAGTATGGCGTTTCGACATATCTTATTAAATGTCGGATTAATATTAATACTAATAATTATACTATTTACCGCAAAATTGACGAAAAATGAGACTGAACTGAATTACAATGTATTTAATGACACTTATTTGAAAGCATTGCATTATAATGTAAAAATAAAATTTGACGTATACAGAAATGTCTTTTTTGGGAAATGCAATATTATCATTCAGATTAATCGTCCAACAACAAAAATAACTATGATGAATTCAAAGATTTTCAGTATAGCAAAAATTGACTTGGTTGACAACAATGATAATCAAACAATCAACATCCAGACATTTTCACTTATCAATAAAAAGTACATTCATCTTGAGTTTCCCCAGTCATCAGTAGATTTTATATTTCCTGGTACATATATCTTAAAACTGATATATGTCAGTAGCATATTAGATAACAAAGACATTTTCGAATCTTTTCAGATAGTCACAGAAAAAGACAAAATGTAAGTTAATCTAATCAGATTTTTAATCAAATTGTGATGTTAATTTTATATTAATCATACATTTAAAATAAAATAGATTAAACAAAGTAATAAGAGCAGGAGAACTATTTCCATATTTGGACGAGCCAGTATTCAAATCAACCTTTAAAATTTCTATTTGGCACCATGAAAACTACACATTTTTATCATCTATGCCGATACAAAAACAAGTTGAAGATATAGATAACATGCTGTGGACTCATTTTGACACATCACCTCCAATGTCTGTTCAATCTTTAACAATCGTAATGACAACATTCAATTATAGCGCAATTTACTTAACTTCTATTGCAAATGTAAAATTTTGGTGTAGAAAAGAGACTATAGAAGAAATGCGATATGCAAAAACCATTCTCCAAAGAGTCGTGCAGTATTTGGCGCAAAAAAATACAAGAAAAGTATTAAAAATAGATTACATTGTAACTAAGGACTTTCAACACAGTAACATAAGGACACGAGGCCTCGTTCTGTTAAGGTAATACTCAATAATAATAACAAAAATTAATATCAAAGAATATAATTTATATTGTTTAGTAAAAATATGTAAAAACACAAGTTGTTTGTTTAAATGTAACATTCTTTTTTTTGTCAAATACAAATTTAACTTGATTCTTGATTTATCTAAAAATATAGGTTTAACTAAATTTAATTAATGTTTATTTGTGTCTGCGTGATAAATTGTATCTACTACAACGTCAATACCTAATTTATTAAATTGCATAATTATAATAAAAATTTTAAGTATGTTTCTAATACTTGAAAACAATTTGCAGGGAAAAAGATATTATTTATAATAATACCTTAGATGACATTGCCCGCAAAATGAAAGTGGCGAACTTAGTAGCACGTGAAACGATATCTCAGTGGTACGATGATGTGTTTCTGTGGTCCAAAGAGGATTTTATTACATTTCTTGCAGCGCATATTTTGAATCAGGTTTCTTTATATTTTTACTGTTAATATACTACTACTACATTTTTAGACTTTATAACTTTATAATTTTATTAAACGATCAAATGACAACTGTCAACAGCGTTAAATATAATATGCCAAAATTCAAATACACTCTCGACTATATATTTTCTCGATCATGTCTCGCTTTACAGACTCGGTTATATTATCGCATGATGGACTTATTTGTCGTTCAAACACAACAGGAATCTTTACGTTTCGACACTCTTTTTATGCCAAATTTTCTGCTATTTAGAAAATTCCGTTATTATATCAAATGTAAGTTTAAGTAAATATAACTAAAATATTATTTAGAATCAAAGAAAATGTAATTTTAAGATACTGATAATTATACGTAAATTCTTAAATTCATACATAACAGAATATAAGAAAACTTTACTACAAATCGATTCAAATACAACTCATTTATAGATAGAACTTATTATATATAAGTATATTAAAAATAAAAATGATTAGTATTTTGAAATACTAGTTTCTATTATGTCAATTGTAATTAATACTATATTAAAAGTAAAGAAAAACTACTTAACAAGTACTTTATAATATGAATTGTCACAGCATCCATTGTATGGCGCATGTTATATCATCTAATATCTGATCACGTGTTTTGGTTGGGTATGAACACGTATATAAACATACAGTGAGTAATATCTTTCTATATATTTTGATAGTGATAAAAAAGACACAAAAAATGTTAATTGTTAATTGTAACCAGTAAAGCACATAATGCTAATGCTTTAAATTCTATTATTCAAAAACATAAGAATTAACCGTTTAATCCGCTACTTTTAGTTACTCTTTATGTAAAGAATTTAAAACAACATTGGAAAATTTTGATTATTAATAAATATTGTAATTTTATAATTTATAACAAAGATTTTTGCAATGTTAATTTTTCAGGTATAATCAGACAAACGCGACAGATGCAAACAATTTATTTTCTAGTCTACCATTTTGGACCGCTATGGAAAGTGCCCTAAATGTAACAAATAACACAATAGGCTTTAATATGAAAAATATAACCGATGTTTGGTCAACGGAAGGATATTATCCTGTACTGTATGTGACACAAAATTTTTCCATTAACACGACATCAATCTCATATAATAATTTCAATCATTACTTGCTGACATCACTTGTTGACATGAAACAATACCGAATATATGTGACGTATACGATGAAATCAGTTATGAACTTTGCGACATCTAATGTCAAAAATTACTGTTGGCTATCTACACTAACACCAAACTACAATATAATTTGGATTGACAATAATGATTGGATTATTGTCAATTTACAACAAACTGGTAAATATTAAACAGTAACTTTATTTTCTGCAAACGATGTTTTATTATTCGATATTTGGCCATCGATATTTGTAGATATTATGTAAGATTGGTAATAATATATTAATATATTATAAGTAATCACAATTATACTTAACGTTTTGGCCCATGTTGATCCGCAGCTTACATTTTTGAAATTAATTTATTGTTACATTAAAGTAACTTTGCAATTAATTATTTGTAATAGCATTGCAATTAATTATTTGTAATAACATATTTTCTGTAATATTTTGAAATATTTTATTAAAATATAATTTATTTAAGAAAATGCTTAGAAAGAAAGAACAATATTTGGCAGCATTTCTTGATAAATTTGATGAAGACATTCTAATAATAAAAATATTATTTTTGTGTCATAGGATACTATCGCGTTAATTATGATTTTGATAACTGGCGAAAACTTGCGCATCATTTGTACTCTGTAAATTATACCAATATTCATGTTTTGAATCGAGCCCAAATCATCGATGACGCGTTTTATTTCTTGACACAAAGCCAACTCAGTTTCACCATGTTTTGGAATATTACAAACTTTCTAGTTAAAGACACAGACTATGTAGCATGGTATCCTATGATTAAAGCTGTTGAATACATGATGTGTGTTTGGGTAATTCAAGATAATGTAGCTATGAAGGTAAATTATAATAAAAGTAAATTTCTATAAAAAAGAATAATGTATAATATTAAAACAGTGCATAAAAAAAAAGTTAAACAAATATGTGCAGAGTGTCTGGCAATAATCGCCCCACCGGTCATATACAGGTAGAGGAGGTCAAACCGAGTAGAAAAGTCCTCTACCATTTTTTGATTTTCGTAATAAGTACTGAGTAATTAACGAAAAAAGATCGGCGAATCCACGTGAGTAAAGCGCGCGCGGCGAGAAGAACGTCCCACTGCTACGCGAACACTAGGACGCAAAGATCTAGCATTATGCGCCGCTCGTATATTGCCGTTGTCATTTGTAGAGCGCTCCTCCCAACGCTTCATCGCGCGCCTAGTGATAGCATAGCAGGGGGACGTCCTTCTCGCCGCGCGCGCTTTACTCGCGCGGATTCGCCGATCTTTTTTCGTTAATTACTCAGTACTTTTTACGAAAATAAAAAAATGGTAAAGGACTTTTCTACTCGGTTTGACCTCCTCTATCTGTATATGACCGGTAGGGAAATTATTGCCAGACACCCTGTCTATGTGTAAGTATACTTACATCTCTTTTTTCAAAAATACAATAAATTTAATATTTCTATTATTTAACAATTTTTAGGACAAAATTAAAAAAATGTTCAATGAACTTCTGCGTAATATAGGATACGATGACAAATTTGATGACAGTGATTTTACTAAGTGTTTAAGAGAAGAAGCGGTAAAATGGGCATGTGTTCTCAATAGTTATAACTGTAGACAAACAGCGGCCTTTCGATTAGAAAAACTTGTAGGAAGTTCTATGCAAGACAAGTAAGTTGTTTTATAAGTACAATACTTATATAAACAAATTTTGTAGCATTATTGACCTATGCTAAATAAATTATTTTAATTTTAAATACAAAATATTGTAGTTAAATATTTGTGTAAAATATTCCTTTTTTTCTGATAATGCAGATATTTCAAATCAAGAGAATGGATATACTGTAAAGGTTTAATGAGAGCAAACTACACTACTTGGGCGACAATACTGCTGTGGCATAAATGGAATATAACATACGACAATATATATTCAGAATATTTAACTTGCTGTACAAATCCTCACATTATTCAAAATTATTTAGAAATACTAGTAGATGGATTTTATTCTAGTGTGACAAACAAACAAACAATTGCTAATATTGTTCTCCTTATTGTTGCGAAACATTCAAACAATGATGCAGTACTCAATTTTATATTCAACAATTTTGAATTATTCCAATTCAGTATAAAAAAGTGATTACTCTTTTTTCTTTGTGATTATATTTGAATATTTATGAATATTTGTTATATTTGCCAAATATATTGCTTTGCTTTTGTAGACCAATTGACCAAATTGCCATATTAATTGTTATTATAACGCACGAGCATGACGTAGTACAATTAGAAAAGGTATATTTTCCTATATGCATATAACATTCTCATTACTTGGTCCTTTCATTTTCAGATCATTTATTTTAAAACTATAACAGATGTGATACTAAAACATATCTGAATATACTTACTACAGCAAATAATGTCTAAAATTACAGTAGAAGAAAAATTAATATTTATTTATATTGTCTGATATATTATTAAACAATCTGTTTTAGGTAAGTGAATTCGTTAAAAATATTATGACGATGAGTGAGAAGCGGCTAGTTGATGCAGTTAAACTAAAATTAATCAAACGAAAAATGGAATACAATAGACAAGTTGGAAAGTATGGGATTCTCAGATGGAACTTAGAAACATAATGCAGCATAAAATGCCAAACACTTGAATAGATGGAAGATAATAATATTACTTGTTGCATATATGCATTCATATATTCATTATTTTTATAATTTTCTTCTTATTAAATTTTCTTATGAAATTGTTGTATTAAATATTACTTTCAATTATAAATTACTTCATGTAAATTATTTCATGTAATGTTTGTTCCAATGTTTTTAATATTTTATTTATCTAATATTTAACTTCAATTTATATTTATACATAAAGATATAAGTATATTATTTATTTATTATCCCGATTATTGTAAATTTTTGGTATGTTTGTTATTCCTCCATTCGGCTCTTTCTTTACATAAAAGTTTTACAGTATTTTATTATTTTTAACAGTATAATATCTTTTATAATAAGCTTAATAACACTAGTTTACAACCAAAAATTTTTTTCAACTAATCAAGGTGTTTCTTATACATTTTTGGATGCTTAAAACGATGCCGCAAACAAAATTTCATCAGCACGTCAAGTTTAAAAAATAATTGAAGTTTAATATATAAAAAATGATTTTTTTTGCGAAATTTGATATTTTTTTGTAAGAAAAGTTAACGTTATCCTGAAATTCTGATCAGAAATCATGTATTGTCTGTCCTTGATAAAATGCATTTTTTAATTTCGATATCTAACTTTTTGCCATGTTATGAAGGATTAAAGCTTGAAGCCTCAGGAGCGCGTGCGCCGTTTCACAAATCAGAAATAGCTCCATCACCATGTGCTGGTAAAATTTGGTTTGCGGCATCATATTCAGCATCAAAAATTTATAAGAAACACCTGATTTGATTAAAAATAAATAGAAACAATTTTTTTTTGTAAACTAATGTAATTCATTTTTGACAAACACTCACCTTTTACTTGTATTTATGTGTAAAATTTTATATCAATAAATTTATAATTTAAATCAAATTGATTCTACCGAAAAAAATATTTAATTTGTATTTTGATATAGTATGCATAATTCTAAAAATTATTTATTTCAATAGTATAATTTTTCACACATTTCCTGTAACGTAGTTAAAAACAACGTACAACTTTAATTTCTATATTTCATGCATAAATTTATCCGATTAGCAGTAGCGCGTTTACTTATGAGCTTTTGGAGCTTGAGCCTCTGAGCCGCAGCTTTTATATATTTATAAATAAATGTTCCATTTTCAATTATCTCCTTGTTCTTGAGTGTGTTTCGGTAGAATCTAATTAATATACAAAATCTAATTAATATACAAAATGTTAATTATTTACTGTTTACTCATTGGGGGAGAAAGGCTAGATTGAGGCGCTCGAAAATCACAAATTCCTGGACGCAAATTTTACAAACGTGGCCCTGCCGATTAGATATCAACAGTCAATAGCTTCTCTATTATGTTAGTAGTAGAGTTTCCTGCTGCGTAACCTCTTAGAAACACTATATACATTACATGATGTATTTATCATGTTAGCTTCCAATATTTTTCTTAGTGTCCGATGATTCCTCGAAACAGTAAGATAGCAATAAAATTTATATACCTCTGGCATTCACAATTCAAGACGGTGTTAACTGTACTATTGTTATAAATTGTTATTTGTTACAAAGTACTGTAATTTTAATAAACACAATTTTCATCTACAAAGGTGAGTTATCATAAGTGAAATATTTCTCATTAAAAACATATAACAAATTTCTAAAACACA